GCTAGAGAAAAACAATTCTATACGATAAAGATACTCAAGTGAACACGTTAAATTTTGTTCCGGCGATGATTACCAACATGGATATCTATCAAAGATGTTGATACAAGCAGAATACTATAATAGCTGTATGAAATGCTTAGTAGGAAGAAAAGAATTATTGAATTACACAACATGATTCTATAACAGTAAATTTTAATGGTTTAGCATTTCGTATATCATTCTAAGGTGTTTCACAGATCGCAATGAATTACTACTTCTACTACACAGCGTGTTCAAATAGCAGAAATCTGTTATAGAGAATCGTAGTTCTCAAAATAATTTCCATTTCAAAAGCAGAACAGGAATCAACTCTTTTAATTAGACGCTTCATTGATAGTCGTAGTATTTAAAAACATTATGCCGATGGATTAGCACCAAAGTCGAATATAACAGGAGTAAGCAGATGCGTATTGGCAAATTTCAAAAAAAAAAACATGTGAGCCTTGCGCAACACCACGTATCTGCCTAAGGACGTCTAAAGGTGATTGTGTTAGAGTAGTTAATTGCAAAATATCATCATTTTCACCACACTTTGAAAAGTAAAGCTCAGAAAGGAGAACTTCGTTACATGTAAACGAGCAGACTCCTTCCTGTCGGTCTGTGAATCGCGTCACAAGCACCGTAGGGACAGGGAGGCGCACAGGGCAATCGTTGCCAGACCAACCAATGTTACGGCTTTTCTCAAATTCAACGTTATTTCAGTGCCAGAATGGCTTTGTCGGAAAACCTTTTGGAATAGGTATTAACTGTGCGCATTCTTCAGTAATGATTAAAAACTGACATAGGATTGTGCTGTGTTGTCAGATTCACTCATGATAGGAGGAAGTGGACATTTTGCGAGTATTCGATGTACTTTGTACCATGCGCAGTTATCTAGGAAATGGATTGCTAGGGATCGCTGTCTCAGTTCTCACTCGTTCCTCTCCTCTATTGTTACCAAGTGTTGCCGACTCCCTAATATAGTGAGAATTTCGCGTTTGCAGAATGTTAAGCCGGAACTCCCTAAGGTTAAGAAATGGTGCGATTGCAACTTTTAAGCTTTTGCATAAACGTCCAATGAGCAGCAATGGGATGTCATTTGGTACGGTGGGAATTCTAGCGTTTGTTGATATATTGTAATTTATCACTTACATTCACCAGAAGTGACTTCGCTGCATCAACAACTTCGTGAAACGGTGCGCAAATTCACAGCTGAAGAGATTACTCCCGTTGCTGCTGAATATGATAAATCTATGAAATATCCTTGGGAGATTGTCAAGAAAGCTCATGCCTGCGGCCTTCTCAACCCTGATATTCCGGAGGCCTATGGTACGTAGTCTTCCCTTGCTTATGAACGTTGTAAGGTGATATGCAAGCTTTCAGTCCGTTTG